GCCGCCCCGCTTGGCTGGCTTAGCAGCACTACCGCACTCGCTAGATTAGATAGACCATCGCTCAGCAGCAGTAGGTTGAAGAAGTCATTGTCATTGTCATTGGCCCGACAGTGGCAACTAGTAACTAGAGGAGTTTGCAATCACGAGTTGCAGGTCACAATATTTAGTTGGCCCGGGCCCAGAGTCAGAGTCTCCGATCTGATTTGTCCTAATGTACAAACATATTTTTTTGGAATGTGCTGGGCTCAAGTTGAAAGGCCTACCAGCCTGACCTAGGGCCTAGCAGCGCTCTACGATCTTTGCCTGGTGGCTTTGCTTTGCAGTTGTTGCTATGAAGCGACCCAGATCAGAGGGCGGTGAGGAAGAATCAGACGGTGAGTGGGACCCCTACCCCCAGGACAGCGAAGCTGAAATTGTTGGACCGGTTTCCAGTTCTGATTCTGAGCCTTGCCTCAGTGAGGGCGAGCGCCTAGAAGACACCGCAGTTGTTGGAGCAGGGCAACCACCGCAAACTGATCCTGCATCGCCAAACCAGGCTGAAATTTCCGAGGCCGAGAGCGGTGCGACGTTAGTTTTGGGAGGTGGCAGGCTCAAAGATCTTGTGGCCAACACCAACAATGTTGGCCGTCCTGGCAGCCTCCCAGGCGCTTGCAGTTTGAGCATCTTTGAAGAGTCTCCAACAGAGGCTGGTCTGATAGATGCCACAGGGTCACACCTGAGCGGCTCCACCGAAGATCATGTACCAGTACCACGAGAGAACACCTCAGAGAAGGGCAAGGGCCATGGCGATGGAGGTCCTGTGGGGCAATTCGGGTTGAAGCCACCTGTGATGGGGAAGACAGACGAAGGGTACAAGCCACTCGCAGCTTGGAGAGATCCATTTCTGGAGTATTTCAATCCCCTGTTTGAGCATTGCGAATGGAATCGGTGCATTCGACTTGGTACATGCTGCAGTGGCTCTGGCTCTCCACGGCTTGGCTTGAAGGCCATTGGACTTCCAGTGACCGAAACTGTCAGTGTGGATCCAAGTCCAGCTTCTTTCAAAGCAGTGCAATCACTGGGCCAACTTCCAGATCATCATCTACAGCTGGCAAGTGAGCTTCTTCTTGGTGAAGGAATGTGCAGTGTCCACAAAGGGCACTGTCGTATTTCACCGCTCCCAGACGATATTTGGGTCTGTGGCTTTCCCTGCGCGCCTTTCTCTACTCAAAGACCTGACCGGTACCAAGGTGGACAATGGAAAACCCACATTCAAACGGAGGTTATGTATGAGGTGGCGAAGTGTCTGGCAAAGCACCAGCCAGCACTGGCTGTGCTGGAGAATGTGCCTGGATTTGTGAGAGAGGGAAAGATGAGGCCGGCGTTCGCAGAAACAACCGTCGAAACTCGAAGTGTTTGTTAGTTAGTTAGTTTATAATTATAGTTCATTCGATATATATATTACCTGACTTCTAGCATTCTAGCCGTAGCCTAGGCCGCCTAGGCCTAGCTTCAACTGGATGGATGTGATTCCGAGGAAAGTTTTGGTCCTTTTGGTGACCTTCATTCCAGATTTGAGATTTACATGGTAACATGGTAAGACTGTAAGACATTGTACTGACCTTCATTCCAGATTTGACTAGTGACTAGTGACTATGTCTAAGTCTAAGTAGTAGACTTGACTCGACTAGACTTGGACTTGGACCTTGGACTCAGACTTGACTCAGACTACTGTAGACGCATCAATATTGAGACTCACGAGTCAAGGCACTGAAGGCATTGATCGATGACAGACACGCTATGTCGCTACGCGCACATGTCGCATACCCTGTCGTATGTCGTCATGTCTGACGTCGCATATATATATATATATATATATATGTGAGGGGGCGTTTAACATGTTAGCGGCTGGCTGTTTAACCACAGCCTAAGTCTAAGTCACAGTACACGTGTCTAGGCCTCTAAGAGTCTATGTCACCGTCTAAGCCAAACCTAAGCCTAAGCCAAGTCTAAGTCTGAGTCTAAATTCTTAATAATGGTTCTATGTCGGTTATATGTTTGCTCATTTGTCGGAGTCAACCAGTTTTGGTTTGGTAGTTTGGTTCGAGTTAGAGATTCAGTTGCAAACATTCAATCATGGAGGCACAGAATCTCGAGAACCATTTTTTGTTTGCTTGTATTAGTATTTCTCTCGCAATGTCATTGGCAATGTGCCACGTGCAGGAATGCTGAGAACAGAAGCACTAGCATCTGGGACTCGCAACATTTGTCTGACAGCCCACTCGACTCTTTGCTTGCAGAGATCAATCGAGGGAAGACACCTGAGACTCGGCAATACTTTCACCACCTCGCAAGGATCGACTCGCAAATCTTCTTGGACACCCCACGTGATCGGGTGTACATCTTGCTGGTTCACGCAGATTTGGGGGCGGCAGTGATGGACAGGGCTGTGGAGATTTTGAATAAGTTCCTGTTGCAGAGCACAACGCATCCAGTGGTCACACCTTGGCAAGATCTGCTTCTACCAGAGACTTCACCATTCCTGGCCAAGAAGCTTGCTGACCTTCAGGCTGGCCCAGTGGCCCAGTGAAATTCTCACAGTCTCATATTAAGTGCACAACTAAGCAGACTAAGCAGTAGTATGTCAGACATGTGGTAGACTGGTAGACTGCAGACACACATAGATACTGAGCAGGTAGGCAATGTGAGCGCACCGTGGTGGGTTTCCATGGCACATGGCACATAAGTCTGTTTGTTTTGATGCTCAAGGTTTTGGGCAGACCGCGCAGGAGTTTGAGACTTTCAAGACTGGACAGCATGACTTGACTCTGACTCTGCAGACCTTAGACTCCTTAGACTTAGACTTAGAGACTTAGACACTGGCACTGGGCCCCATCTCTAGACTCCAGACTCTAACTGACTAGGCCCCAGGCCCCAGTATCACTCAGGAAGTTTGTCAGTAGTTGCCCAGTCATTATCCAATTACCTTCTTTCAGGCCTAGCAGACCTAGCACTTAGCAGAGCTACAATCACTTGATTCACTTGATGGTACCGTGTAACTACTTGGTATTTGCTTGCGCATTCTCCAACAAGAGCCATAGCCATAGCCGCCTGCCACTTCCATAACAATGGCCCTACGACGCTCCAATGCCTTTGTTATGGATGATGATGAGACTTCCAGCAGTGAGTGGGAGATGCTCGATTCTCCGTCGCCGCGGCCTAGCAGACTGAGAACAAGGTCTCGGAGCCGAAGTCGACACTTCCGACATGTAGAGTCAGGGCGGGCCAATGATCAGATTCACCGGCTGAATGTTGGCACATCAAACAATGAGTTTCATGGACCTTGTCATCAGCGTTTGCCATTGAGCATTACTGTCAATGGCGGGCACGCAGGAGGGCGACAGCTAATCACCATCAACCCATCTCACCAGACTCGCATTGGCATTGACGTGGTCATTGTGACTAGCGGAACAGGTGTGGATGGAAATGCCAGCGAATCACATAGGCATATCTCGCATTCGCATTCCCCTTCTTCCTCACCTTCAGTGGCGAATCCAGTGGCTCCAGCCTGGGCCTTGACTTCGACTCCATGCTCCACCTTGCAGCATCAAATGACTATGACCAGGGCTACTAGAGTTACTGGAGTTACTAGAGGTGGCAGAGATGGTAGCGCCGCTTGAGCGCTTCAGCAAGATGGAAATAGTTTCTTGTGGCATCCCACAGGCAACTAGCTAGCTCCAGTTACTAGTTCCGGCCGGTTCAATTGCTAGTGAGCTAGTAAAGTTAATTAGTTCATCGCTACCCATGACTCAGTGCGTCGTTGTGACATGACCTGACATGGTAGCAACAGCCAGCGAGTGGCGAGTGAACACATTACTATTTTTCACCCGCTTGCAGCCTGGGCTTTACACTTGATGCTTGAACCTGCAGTTTAGAGCCTGCAGCCTACAGACATTGCCTACATAGTGACATACTGTAGAAGCGTAGAGTATAGAGCAAGAGCAGCAGAGTAGCAAACCTCGGCCTTAATTGGCTTAGGGCTTAGGCCTAGTCGAGTCAGTCTAATCTAATCATCTTTGTACTCAAGTCACTCAAGTCTAGACTGGGACTGTAGACTCAGACTATGACTGTGACTTACTGACATTCATTTCCGACTGAGACTCTGGACTGTAGACTCTTCGATTTTAGCGACTCGACCCCAATCCACTATCACTAGCAACAGGTGACCAGATGAGTAGACTAGACTTTCAAGGACAAGACTCGACTCAACTATAACTATGACTATGATTAGACTACGCTTAGACTCGACTCGATACTCAATTAGTGACTAGGTTTGAATAGATCAGACTCGCCTCAGCCATGACTACTATAGAGATAAGACTAGATTTAGATTCTATTTAGATTGACTAGATGACTGTGAAGAGACTAGGCTCACTAGATTATACTAGACAGAAATTGTGATTGTGTTACATGTTCACCACAGCGTGAAACATAGAGACACTTCCTTTCTTCCTACCTTCCTTGATTCAATCCTTCACTCTCACTCAGGACTCAATTCTTTATTTGCTTGTTTGCTTCCTTCCTTCTTGGTGGTTTTGGTTTGCGTGGAATCTTTTGGGGTAAAGAAACTTGGATTCATCTCAACCTAGATCTAGGAAATTTGCTGGAGTCTAGCTGACCACCCCACTCCCTGCGGCTGTGGCACCACTTCTTGCCAAGAAGACCAAGACTCTAGACCGAGAAGTCTTAGAGTCTTAGAGCCACAGTCATTGAGACTGAAGATTGCGAGGCAAAGCGAAGTGTAATTTGGCAACACAGGGGGTGGCGCGGACTGGATAAAACATCCTTCAAAAAAGAAGGCCGCAATCTCTTGACTCCAGAAGTTGATTTTGTTTTTTATTGAAGAATGGCGCAAGCCGCTCCAACCTTGAAAAAGAAGGCCGCAACCACCAGAAGTTGACTTTGTTATTTCTATATTCTATTTTTTGAAGAAAGGCAGACATCACCCAAACCGCAATCGACTTTTGTTGTTTTGAAGAAGGGCGCAAGCCGCTCACAGACACAAAGGAACCCAACGGCAATTTTCCAAGACAGAAGGAAAATGTGTACTGATTGGACAAGATTTTTTGTTGAAGGCAAGGTAGACCTGAAGCCCGACACTTGAACAGCTCAGGGCATATCCTTTTTAATTTTTTGTGAGCCACATGCTGGGGGGAAGACGCGGTGGAGAAAGAACGAGTGAGACTGAAATGAACAAAAAATGCAGCTGCAACTCTGTTGTTCGGCGCCAGAGCAGCTGAGCAAGTTCTTATTTTATGTTTGTTTGTTGCTGTGCTGTACTACACTACACAGCAACCAGCTAGCCAAAAAACATTGCAGCTGCTATACACACCAAGCCGCTAAGTCGTCACTAAGTGGCTAGGCTAAATTTTTTTGTGGCTGTGTTGTCCGGCGACAAACAGCCAAGCAAAGACAATGCCTAGGCCTATGCCTGCTGCTCTGGCAGTAACCAGTAACTGGCCCTGGTATTTAAGCAACAGCAGCTACGCAAATACGATGCCTACTAGCGCTAGCAAACAGATATGAAGTAAACAAAGACTCCACCTGCTGCTCTGCGATTTGGCAGCAAGGAAGTAGGGAATCACACTTGCTGCTTTGCCCACAAACAGGTAAGCAAACTATAATGAATAATGCTTTCTGCTCTGCTACAAAGCAATAAGCCGCCAGCAACTAAGCCAAAGCCTTAAGCCAAAAACATTCATGCTGCACTGCTACCTGCTACCAGGCAGCAAGCAGCAAACAGTTAATCAATCTACACCTGCTGCTCTGCCAGTGGGCAGCAAGCAAGATAAATTAAGTTTACCTTTGCGCCTTTGAACAGCTAATTAAGTTAAGCAACGCAGCCAAACATATACTCACACTGCTCTGCTGCTAGGAAGTAGGAGTATCAGTGAGTAGCGCATACTCATGCTGCTCTGTTTTTTTCTAGCAGGGCAGTACTCAGGGTTTTGCTTAACTTACCTGTTTGCTGCCTGATAGCAGAGGAGTAGAAACAAGACTAAGTAACTAATCCTGCTGCCCTGCTACTCAACAGCAAAGCAAAGACTCCAAAAAAATTGAACGATCTGCTGCTCTGCTATAGTGAGGCACAAAAATTGCAAACCCTAAACCCTAAACCCTAAACGTTTGTCCGAAAAAACGGGCAGCATTTTGTTTACAGCGACAGTTTCCCACATCCAAGACAAAGGCCTTATAACACCAGAGGTAGCCTGAGTCACCAAACCCTCGGCCAAACCCTCGCCAAACCCTCGCTAAAGTCTCGCTAAACCCTCGCTAAAGTCTCGCTAAACCCTCGCTAAACCCTCGCTAAAGTCTCGCTAAAGTCTCGCGAAACCCTCGCCGCAACTCTCGCCAAAGTCTCGACCAAAGCCTCGCCAAAGTCTCGCAAAACCCTCGACAGGAGCCTCGCCAAAGTCTCGCAAAACCCTCGGCCAAACCTCATCAAAGTCTCGCAAAAAAATTGCCCAAAAGAGTGAGTCAGTTTTGACTCAACTTCTGGTACCTCGACAGTGCCCCAGCCAATCTCGCAGAACTGCGTGACAGGAGTGTGAGGAAAGCTCAACAAAACATTGACCAAAGCTCACCAAAGTCTCGCTAAAGTCTCGCTAAAGTCTCGCTAAAGTCTCGCCAAAGTCTCGAGCAAAACTCGGCCTATTTTTGCAAAGTTCAGCAAAACTTCGCCCCAACAGGGCATTTTCACACCCGCAGTGGTATCGTGACCGCGCAGTCAAGCAGCAAGATTTCTTCTACTTCGCCGTTACTTCGCCTCACCTCCACCGCGGGCCTACAATTTTTGCAGCCAGACGTTTGAAGAGCAGCCCAGTTTTGATGGCAACTTGGCCCACCTTGCCATACTTCCGACAGCGAGCGACAGTAAAAATACAAACCTCTGGCACATAGTGTAGGCGAAGTTTCCACTTTTTGCTCCTACAAAGTTCCTGCAGGGTGTTTTTTCTCGGGCGCCTAAAGCCTCACAGTCTCAGCCGCCCAGTAGTGTAGTTTCCTTCTCAGACACCTTACTGCCAGAGAGACCAGTAAGTTTGTCACTTAATCTATTGACTCTATTTACTGTTTGGCTGTGCTAGCAGCCTGCCAGCTTGAAATTAGCTAGCAGACTAGCTGACTGACGCAAGGAGACCTGCCTGAGTTTAGGTTTAGGTCTCAAGCAGCCCTATAGCAGATGAGCCCTTACTAGAGCCTAGCAAGCAACCCTGAGCCGAAAAAAACTCATCGGAGAGTTATTAGGTAAATATGTTCTACTCAACTCTTCTTGTTTTTCATCATTCTTTCCTTTAGTTGTTTCAGAGTTTCCCTTAAGCTACACCTGCTGCTTTGCTCTTGGGCAGGCAGCAAGCAAGATGAGTGCAGTTTACCTGTGCTACTACTGTATTTACAAAGCAAAAAATAAGGAAAACATATATTCATGCTGCTCTGCCAGTAGGAAGCAAACAGTAATTTTCTGTACAGTCTTGTGGCTCTATGCCTTCTTCTCCGCCATTGAATTTTTTCGAACAGCAAAGCATCAAGCAA